ATGTTAAGGACATGACTGTATACTTGTATATAAACCGTCAAAAAATATATATTTCGGAGTAAACTATTTAACAAATTACTGGGATGATGTGTTAAGTTATGTTTAGGCGATCACTTAGGGTAGTATTTTGTTTATCAAAAACGATCATGAAGCAAAAATCTAATCTAAGTCTAATAATACGATAAAATTTTCGACGACTTATTTTAGTCCGCGAAGGAACTAATTATTTCTTTCTTGCACGGGTAGGTAGGTACCACCAACCTGCCAATTTCTGTCGTGAAGCAGTAATACGTTTCGGTTTGAAGGTAAAAGTCATGGTAGGTGGCGGCATTTACGTTGTTGATGTATCCGGCCTCCGGTAACAACTTAACACCAGGTGGGCTGTGAGCTCGTCTACCCATCTAAGCAATAAGCAATAAAAAAAATAAAAAAAATCTACAGGAAATTAAGATCGCCACTCAATGCTTAGTGAGAGTTTTTTAACGTTCTCGATAGCGTAAAAGTTAACTCAAATTTGTAAGCAGTTGGAACAGCGCCCCTAGCGGCAAACGCAGGCAAACGTTCCAATTCTATACAAATTTGAGTTAACTTTTACGCTATCGAGAACGTACAAAAATCGCACTAAGCACACAGCTGAGTCGTGTGCGCGCCCAACCATCTAGGAATTAATTAAAAATAAAAATAGGGTTTTGTATACCTTAAGATGGTGGTGACAACCAGACGACATGTGGTTATTTATCGATCTAATAAACTATTTATTACCAGAGATTGACAAAAGTGATTTTGAAAGTATGTACTACATTTACAATTTTTTTTAATCTGCAAAAGCAAGGTTTTAAGATGCCACTCCCGCTATTTCCTTTGGGCCCACGAGCTAGCAATGTAATCAATCATGGCAACATATTGCTTAGATAAACACACTTCATTGCGCGAACCAAAAACCTTATTCCCATAATCAATGCATCATCCATGCCTCATCATTAATCCCGAACTATACACATCTAAACCCAACGAAACAAAAACCACGAATAATTGATATTACAAAAAGATCAATAAAACGGCCACACAAGGTGAAATATTTTGATTAAAGATTGATTTATAAGAGATAAATAAGAGATACATAAGAGAGATATAAGAGATAAATTGGATAATAATGTAGGATTGATAAGAACGAAACATATGAAAAGAGTGTGGAACGGAGCGTTAAGATGTGAGCGAGAGAAAACAGTAAGAAAGGGAAAAAAGATTGACAGAGTAAAGCAAGATGGCGAAGACAATTGACTGAGCAAAGAGTACAAAAAGGTGTCAGTTAATTTTTAATTACAATAATAGAGAAGATTGGGGAAGCGAACAATAAAAGTGCAAGAATGGAATAATTTTCTTTTATGCGGCACGATCCCAATTCTACAAATAAGGAAACTGGAGTAACTAATATTTGGACGTCCCATTTTATGAAAACGTATAGAGATCTAAAGTACTATGTATTAATAATATTAAATTAATATTATCATGACATATTGACAACACCATCATATTTATTCGTGCTGAGGAGTTTTAATATCTAAACCTTTATGTATATTTAAAGATATTTGCCTGCCGCAAGAAAGCTTCGATCAACACATACAAAATTTTAATATCAGTTCAGAAATGTGGAACTTTTAAGCATTTTAAATGCGCGTTACACAGAGTGCATAATTGTTTCCGATGACGTCAACGTACATGAGTGCGATGCAAAAACTGTGCCAAAACTCGCGCTTCGAGAAAGAGACAGAGCATACTCTCTCAATCGTCACGAAAAACTTCAAGAAACTGAAAGATTAATAATAATAATATATTAGAATTTTACAGGCCGACTTCAATTATAATATTATTTTAATACTAGCGACCCGCCCTCGCTTCGCTTCGGAAACTAATTTATTATTGATTTCTCCACTATTTAATGGATGTTATTATACGTATAAACCGTCCTCTTCAATCACTCTATCTATTAAAAAAAATTGCATCAAAATCCGTTGCGTAGTTTTAAAGATTTAAGCATACATAGGGACAGACAGATATAGGGACAGACACATATAGGGACAGAGAAAGCGACTTTGTTTTTTACTATTTAGTGAAGACACGTGCTGTATCTAATCATATTTCTCATTGCACTTGTCTTTTTGTTTTAATAAATACGATAGTTTAATTGACTCAATTGAAGCTTCAACTACATTTCTTAAGGTGAGCCGACGGCATTACGTTGTGGTGTTTGTTTTATTGTTTTAGTCATTCAGTTAAACACGTGAGGCGCCTGTTTTTATGGAGTAATATATTTGAAATATATTTACCTCTATTTAATTATAATATAATAAATTGCTACTATTCAATAAATTTATTTATACTTTAAACTTTGTAATATTTCCTGTGATTCGTTCATTGAATTTTCTATTCAATATTTTAGCGTGACTATACACAAGTCATATAGGAAAACCATAGAAGCTCTGCTTATCTAACCCAGTCGACAGGACAACGCGAAGCCGTCGTCTCCCGAAACACGTCTTGTCGAATCCACTCTCGGTGCTTTTAAGCTCCTCAAGCACCAGTCACCGTCTTCGTCGATCACGACGAAGAGTTCGACGACGACCTAACCCATAGACACAGCGCACTGACTCTCTCGCCGGATCTTCTGAGTGGGTCGCGATTCCGATTCGGTAGTAGATTCTGCGAGGCACTGCTCCTGCTAGGGCTAGTGTTATCAAATTCTCTTAGGTTGATCGCGTGAGCTCGTCTACCCGTCCGGACGTAGCTAGCCCCTTAGGCTATGAAGAATCAATGAAAACAATTAATTCTTCTTCGTAATCTTAAATTGAGGTTACTTTCATGAAAATATATACTAACGGAGAAACTCAAAACATCAAAGGCCATATCGCAAAATCACTGAGAGGATCTTTTTTTTTTACGATTGAAGGATTACTGGTGGCCCGTAGGCATTTCCAGTTTCACCAGGACAGGTGGGCGAGCAAAGGCTCAGCCAAGAGAGGTGGGATTTGCTAACAGCTACCGAAGCGCCTCCGAAGGAGACCTAACAGCTCAAGAGTAGCTGCTTCGCGAATGAATCTACTACCGGATCGGAATCGCGACCCGCTGAGAAGATCCGGCGAGAAACTCAGCGAGCTGATTCATGGGTTAGGTTGCACGGCGAACTCTTTGTCGAGTTCGACGAGTACGGTTTCCGAGGTCCCTAAGCCTGCTCCTAGTGTTAGAGCTGAAGGTGTCTAATGCAAAGGTTATTGGATCTAATGGATCCGTAAGGACGTGAACTGAGAGGATCCCAATTGTGTTCATTCAATGACAATAACACGATACGTAAATTGTTTCGTATTTGTAAATTTTAAAGTTTACGATAGTTTACGTTTTGTTTTGAGAAACAGGCTATTGGGTGGCACTGTAAATATACTTAGGAAGAGAACTGGTAAACGTTAACGTTGCGTTTCACATACAAAACAAGGGATATGTTTTTCAACAAATCCACGCTTTGATATGACAAGATAGGTAGGTGATACAAACAAGCTTCCGGAATAATATGTACAAGACAAGCATTTTGAAAAAAAATGTAGGTACTTTACATTATCTGTGCTTTGTTTAGTCTAAAGAGTCATAGTTTACAAAATTTGAGCTAATTTAACGCTATAATTTAAAAAAAATACGAGGCGAGACAGACCCTGCTTCAGCCAATAATACAGGTGGTAGGACCTCTTGTGAGACCGCACGGGTAGGTACCACCACCTTACCTATTTCTGCCGTGAAGCAGTAATGCGTTTCGGTTTGAAGGGCGGGGCAGCCGTTGTAATTATACTTGAGACCTTAGAACTCATATTTCAAGGTGGGCGGCGACATTTACGTTATAGATGTCTATGGGCTCCGGTAATCACTTAACACCAGGTGGGCTGTGAGCTCGTCCACCCATCTAAGCAATAAAAAAATTTAAAGATGTCAGTAACATGACCCTGGAGTGCTTCAATTGTTAAACTTGAAATTTAACATAACAATGCATACGCTGTCAGTGATTTATAAGGACGTTTCCTCAGAATTTAGGTAATGGACCTTAATACTGCGAAAGGGAACTATTGGAGATAATTACAAAGTTAAATCTCATTTCCCGTGTCACGTCTCATTTTGACTTAGTAAATAGTACCGTTTGTAAAAAAATATATTTTAAAAACTAAGCTTTAGGTGATATTTGTTGAACTGTATTCGTCAAGAATGCAATCTCGTTATTATTGTGATGGCATAAATTGGCACGGAGCCAGATGTGACTAGTGATGTGCGAAAATAAAGTTCTAGGAGGTACATAAACTATCTGTACCGCAAATTGTTGCCTGTTACTTCGGAGGCTCTTGAGAGATGATAACATACAAACACTTTGGAAACATTAGATTACCCCATCAGGATAGCGTGAAGTATCTTGATATACGAATGGATCGTCGCTTCATATTATGAAAATAATACATTCAAACCAAATAAGAACTAATTAACATCTGGCACAATATCCTGTATTAGTTAATTGTAACAGTACTCAACAAATGTTCACGATCGACTTCCACGGTGAAGGTATAACATCGTGTAATAAAAATCAAATCCGCAAAATTATAATTTGCGTAATTACTGGTGGTAGGACCTCTTGTGAGTCCGCACGGGTAGGTACCACCGCCCCGCCTATTTCTGTCGTGAAGCAGTAATGCGTTTCGGTTTGAAGGGTGGGGTAGCCGTTGTAACTATACTGAGACCTTAGAACTTATATCTCAAGGTGGGTGGCGCATTTACGTTGAGAATGTCTATGGGCTCCAGTAACCACTTAACACCAGGTGGGCTGTGAGCTCGTCGACACATAAAGCAACAAAAAAAATGTTATGTACCTAGATAGCCACAAAACTTCAGACAATTAGCTTCAAACAATTCATACAGAACTGCCACACACTATACGAACTAAAGACAACACTCGCAATTGCGTTGTAACATACCTTAATAAGCCTTCCCGCTGCACCATATACCGAAATGTTTCGCTTATGGTGCTATTGTGGGCCGTCCGCAAAGACTGCATTCGAGTCTGAAACAATAATAAAACAGATGTAGCCGATCATTTTCTAGTTACCGCTTTGATATCTATGTTTATCACGTCTCGTTGTCCTTACTTGCAAAGGAAATTGGTCTTTTAGAACATTAAATGCCTTGCGACCACGGTTATTTGAAGTGTTTAATATGAATGACACCTAAAATTGTAAACTAAAACTGGCAACCGGCAATTTGAGTGTTACATTTGAAAATCCATATCCATACTAATATTATATTTTGTTTGTTTGCCCTTTTTTCACGTCGTAACGCAGAAATAACATAACGTCGTTGTCAAACGAAAATCTGCTATGTGCGCTTTTTGAGATTTTTACTTTTTGACCTTTTCGTATATTTCACACCCCTATCTATCTACTGTATAAAAAAAACTGTTTTGTGTCTACAGCTTTAATAGTTATCTATAGATTTCATTTGTTAAAGTTATTAAAAATTCACCTTTATATAAAATTTTACACGAAAATGTTTTACTCGTTAATTCAAAACTAGAGGTCCCGCAGTAGTCGAAATTCGACTATAATTAATTGGAATTGTAAGTTTGTACACTATTATGATTGTATTTTATACTTCTATAATCACAAATTTCGCCAAGACTACACTATAAAAAATATTAACAAAGGCAAACAATATTTAATCTATTCTCAATTTGACAACAGACGCCAACAACAAAAGTTTGACAATAAATAGTATGCATGCGTGTGTGCGTCAAATACATGGTATGTAGTGTGTGTAATGTTTCCTTTATTGATTTAATGTATCTTTTATGCATTATTTAAAAAAAATATTAGCATTGTGCACTTCTTCTCTATATTCTCTATAAGTGTCGAAAATTTCATTCGCGCAATTTTCGTAAAAAGTGATACAAAGTTTTTGCTTCACGTATTAATATATAGATAGAGTTTTTGCACATAGCAGATTTTGGTTTGACAGCGACGATAAGCTACTTTTAATCCCGAAAAAAAAAAAATGCTCACAGGAAACTACACCGACACTTTTCCTTGAACAAGCAAGCGAAGCCGGAGTTAATAGCTAGTCAAACATAATTTCATCTACATTGAGCCGAGTATATTTTTTTACAGAGCCGCGTGTACCACCAGTCACGTTAATGAAATAAAATTACAGTTTACACAAGGCACAAAACGACGTTAATATATACGAGATTTTCTTAATCATATATACGTGCAACCTGTAATTTTTCCATGGTAGAGGTAAATATGTGATCAGTGTCAGATGACTTTGAAACAACTGAGGATATAAATGGAGTTGGGGAAACTAGCAATCATTCAGTTGTTTCCGTCTCGTAAAAATGGCCGTACATATATTTCTAATTCTTGCCAGTTACATGGCTTTGGCTGCACACGGTCAACTGGACGACGAAATAGCCGAACTAGCGGCAATGGTCCGAGAAAACTGCGCCGACGAATCAAGCGTGGATCTGAATTTGGTGGAGAAAGTTAACGCCGGTACTGATTTAGCGACAATCACTGACGGAAAACTAAAATGCTACATCAAGTGCACAATGGAGACCGCGGGCATGATGTCTGACGGCGTCGTCGACGTGGAAGCGGTCTTATCGCTTTTGCCGGATTCATTGAAGACAAAAAATGAGGCTTCCCTGAAGAAGTGCGATACTCAGAAAGGCTCCGACGACTGTGACACTGCATACCTGACTCAGATATGCTGGCAAGCCGCAAACAAGGCGGACTACTTCCTCATTTAGTTCGTAAAACATTTCTAAATTTATCCTTAAGCAAACAAAACTGTCGCGAAATGATAACGAAACAAAATTATTGTATTGTGGAATGCGTTTTGTTTTTTTTTCTGACTTATATTGATGGTAAATAAAATTGGAATGAAGATTTTAAGTCGTTTTAGTATTCAACTGCTTTCACCCGATACGTTCTATTTTTTTTATTGCTTAGTTGGATGGACGAGCTCACAGCACACTTGGTGTTAAGTGGTTACTGGAGCCCATAGACATCTACAACGTAAATGCACCACCCATCTCGAGATATAAGTTCTAAGGTCTCAGTATAGTTACAACGGCTACCCCACCCTTCGAACCGAAACGCATTACTGCTTCACGGCAGAAATAAACGAGGTGGTGGTACCTACCCGTGCGGACTCCCAAGAGGTCCTACCACCAGTGATTACGCAAAGAAAGATGTCGCTGATTTTTTGTCAATAACGTTTAAAATTTCATAATTGACATTTTTTTGTTCAGGAGGAAACGCCGAGGCACTTATCTGAGTTGAGAATCAACTTAAATTCTATGGCGTTCATCGATTTGCATCCGAATAGACAAGAGCTCTATGAGACAGATCTGAGCCTAAGCGGGTGACGAGCAAGGAGCGTGACGCATCTTTATGTACCACCATACACCCACGACACGTGTAACGCGATATTCGCCACCATGACCACCGGACATCTGGATCAGAGAATTGCCAGAAGCCCTTCTAGACATTGTCGCTTACTCGTCCCCACGGGATATCATGCTGGGTCAAAACCAGTGATAGTAGTAAGCAGTAGTGTTAGTCGTAGAGTGCGATCTTCTTTCACCCAGTAGAATACACGTGTAGTGCAACTTATACGTCGTCTTCTTGGATCTCACCCACCGTTCCTGAAGCTGATGTACGGAGGGCACGACAAAACTTAATTCTTAGCAGAGATGGATAAGTGCGCTTGTGTGGTCTAGTTTCAAAATGTCTACTTGAAACTTGAAAAAACAATAATACATTTGAACGATTTATTCGAAAAAAAAATTTTTTTTTGGTACTGTTTAGTATTCCTACAGTAATAAAATGGTTCTAAAAATCGACCTTGGAAAATCGCACTGTCTTTATTGGCCCAAATTAAATTTCTCAAATTAATTACTTAGATACCAAATGAACTGTATAGTAAAATAATTCGCATTTGAATAGGTGAAATTTGCATGAAGACACAGTAAGGTTTAATTTTGATACAATTAGTTATTCAGAATTTTTCTACGTAGTTTTACGTACGTATACGAATAAATAGATATATAAACGACGGAAAGCAAAACAATTTTATTTTTAGTTAGAAACAGTACAATAATCTAACCTTTGTACCTGTGGAACTTAAGAGCAGGTAAGCGTCATCACCCCGCCTATTTCTGCCGCGAAGCAATAATAATAAAGCAATAATTACGGTTTAAGGGGTTGGAGAAGCCATTTTACTACAGAACTTAACGCACTGAGATACTATCCAGAGTTTCTCGCCGGATCTTCTCAATGCGTCGCGATTCCGATCCGTGCTAGATTCTGCGAAGCACTGCGCTTGCCAGGGCTGGTGTTAGCAGAATCTCTCAGGTTGAGTCCGCGAGCTCACCTACCAGTCCTTGAGTGAGTAGGTGGAATAACCCTTTATGTTCCAAGCTAACAGGTAGGGGGAAAAATAACTATATAGAACTTATAGGCTCTGAATTCACGTCTTTTTTATATTTTTTATAGCTAAGATGGGTAGACGAACTCACGGCCCGCCTGGTGTTAAGTGGTCACCGGAGTTCATAGACATCAACAACGTCAAAGCCGCCGCCCATCTTGAGACACGAGTTGTCTCAGTTTTACAGTACAACGTCTGTGCCACCATTTAAGTCGAAAAGCATTGCTGTTTGAAATGGGCAGGGTTGTGGTACCTGCTCGTGTGGGATCAAAAGACGCCCTGCCATCAGTAAAAAGGTCTCTCTTAAAGTGGGTGGCGGTTTTCAGGTTATTAATGTCTATAAGATCCAGTAAACACTTAACAACGAGTAGGCCGTAAGCTCGTTTACTCGTCTAACGAATAAAAAATAAATAGGAACAAAACGTGAGCTTGTCAACTAATCTTATTTAATAAGTAAATAAATTAAACAAACGATTTAATTAAAACTTTTAAGGTTTAATATCACGGTTTTTTATAATAAGTATATTGTTTCCGTAATAAAGAATATTTTACAGTTTTCATGTTTACGAACGACTGAGGGACTACGACGAAAACGAAATGAAATATTTTAATTTACGAGAATTTAAAAAAAAATGTTTGATGTTCTTTATTACTGTACAGGCATTTTATTAATACAATAGATTATGAAAAATGTGAACAATAATACATATAGCAAAAGAATAGCTGGTGAAGGAATAACATCGTGTAATAAAAATCAAATCCGCAAAATTATAATTTTCGTAATTACTGGTGGTAGGACCTCTTGTGAGTCCGCGCGGGTAGGTACCACCACCCTGCCTATTTCTGCCGTGAAGCAGTAAAGCGTTTCGGTTTGAAGGGTGGGGCAATCGTTGTAACTATATTTGAGACTTGTATCTCAAGGTGGGTGGCGCATTTACGTTGTGGATGTCTATGGGCTCCAGTAACCACTTAACACCAGGTGGGCTGTGAGCTCGTCCAACCATCTAAGCAATTAAAAAAAAAACATATTTTTTTTTAAAAAAAACAACACTTTCTTTAACAATATGAATATGAGTATTTTTTACACTTCGTTCATGCCAAAATTAATTTCTTATTCAATAAATTGTTATGCGTGACCTATAAGAAAACACATTGTAAAAGAAAATATGTATTGTTTTTGCTACAATTTCGATATGGTTTCTTAATGCGGAATATTTAATTAATTAATATTTAGAGGTCAGAATCAGACCCCAATTCTTACCTATCTATATCATACCTCTAAGTTTTCCCAAATTGTACTAATTTGTTGATATATAAGAAAATTTTACAGTCAATTGTTTTTTTTACTGCTGTTGTGTGCAGACCAACACATAGTCCATCTGGTGATAAGGTAGCATTGCTCATAGATATCAAGAATGCCAGCAGCACAGCCAAGCTCCTGCCTGTGTTGTGCAATCAATACTCCAAAAGTAACTTCAATCAACTCTCCGATTACTTAACTACACAGCAGAAACAACATTAAAATCACTACATGATATGTCACAAACATATATAGAACAGCTTTTGCAATCTCATTGTTATTGATCAGTCATATATAATTAACAACTTCAATTCAAGGCTTGAAATTCATATGTCCACTCTTTATGCAGAGATTAATAATTAAACATACATTTTACATTAATAAAAGTTTTCTAGTTTTTACATATTACTGGTCCTGAGTGGCTGAAACTATGAAATATTTTGACAGTTTATGCTACGCCTATGTCAGAGGCAACTAAGAAGAAATATTTTTTTATTAATCCACCTCTATGGGGGTAGGTAATAAAAGGAACTGATGTAGTGTGGAAGTCACTATCTTTAAACTCAGTAAACATTCCACACCCTGCTTTACTTTAGAAATTACTATTTACATAGATACACATCCTGTATTCTTTTAATTTAATATTTAAGCGGGTGAATAATATGCATCAAATTTAATATTAAAGCTTCTATAAATTTTAGAAATTTGTCATTATTGTGTATATTCACTGTGATTTACTTTCAGAACCATATCCTAATCCATTCCTTGAAAGCCAGGAAGGTGTGCTAGTAAAAAATTTATAATATTGCAATATTTATATTATGTGACTTCAGAATAATAGTAACTATGAAATGGAATAAAAAATTGCAGATTTACTAAAAACTTCTTAATCTGCAATAAAATGTCACCTTGCAACAAAATATGTGTCTATGTACTAATTATACTAACAATTATTAATATTCTCAATATATGGACCTGAAAATAAAATACTGTGAACTGATTCGCCTCAAGTTTCATCATCTCCTATCCTTTACGACCATTTGTATTCTCGTTAGCATAGCGTACATTGCAATCACGAATAGGAATTGCTGATATGGCTATTTCTCCATCATAGCATGCATTACAGTTTAAAGTGACATTTGTTTAACCAATTTTTTTAATATTTTGTCTGAAAGTGAGCAATCGAATTCACATTGAAGTCCTCTGTGTCTGGAGTCTGGCTCCAGTAACAAAAAAAACACTAGTAACAACAATATCATATGGACTATGAGATCATCTGCCAATCTTTACTAGTAATTTAAAAAGTAAAAAAGCTCATCATATTAATTTTCCTCTCACATTCCAACTCTTATCAAGATTACCAGTAATAGACATGTAGTAAGCATTGGCATGCCAATATTACTTACTTCTGTTCACCTGTCCTGTGTAAAAATGGTTGCAAATATATGGCAATTTCATCATCA